GCATATTTTGTCTCCATACATTTTTGCAACCACAAAGAAGGAAATGTACGAATAGACAAGCAGAACCAAACATATCCTCACCAATAACTTCATCCTTATTTTTATCTCGGCATTAGGATGTTGCCTTGCTTTATGTTATGGTATCGTCTCTGCAGGGGAACAAATGAAGAGGAAGTCAAATTCATCCTGTGGCTCCAGGAGGTGTTATCTGTAATGTCCTAATAAATCAGTAAATCTCTTAATAAGAAAATGCCATGAATAGATACATAAGAAATGCACTAGTCATGCAACTGAGATTGGTCCCTTTCTTTGCAGACACAAAGGGCTTTACAGATCTATGGAAAAGCAGGGAGCAGGGCAGAAATGGCAGAGAGAGTCATCTACCAGTTGTTTTATCGGCTTTTTTTTGGCTTCACCCTATTGTGAATCTGATGTTTCCTGGGATCAGCAAAACTCTCAGCACGACTCCAGTTTTGGAGCACTGGAAGAAATACCAGCCTAAGAAGTGAACAGGTATTAGCCTCACACATTGCCCTGTGTATTGCCTAATATATGTTGTGTGTGTCCTGCTCACAGACTTTTCCTTGAAATTTGTTTTTGGCAGTGTTGAGCAAGGACTGAAACTCACTGAGATCATAAAGGCTATTCTCAGGAAGTTTAGGAAACCAGACAGCAGTTGTGGTGTTATCCAGACATCAGAACACATGGATGGAAGGAAGAAAAGAATAACAAACTCAGTTTATCAGCAAAATTGAGTAAGTATAAGAATATAGTGAACTAATATACCATTTAGGAGTGAGAACATACTGGAGTCACTAGCTGACCCAGCAGAGAAATGCCTGCCCTCCCGCAAGCATCTGGTGATTTTATTGGCCATGCCCATGACTGAGTGGTACTCTACGTGGAGAAGTAACCCCTGTGAATGGCTGTTATGTGGCTGAGAAATGATGGAGAATTATATATTGTCTCTCCACAATCTTGCACTTCTACTTCAATCTCTAAAAAAGGTTCTTTGCAACCTATGCAAAGTGCAGCACCAAACTAACCAACCAACATGATGAAAGGAACCCACTCCAGAAACAAACAAAACCACTTTTGATCAATCCCAAAGCAATCTAGCAGAGAGCTAGTCCATTAACAAAAAGGCAATGCCCTCACTCAGCATGCACCTATCAACAGATAGAGTATGCATCCCAGTGCAAATACAGTTAAAGACATGCTACAAATAATATTTTGATCTGAAAGACCAGTTACTTTTATCGACATTTGTTTACTCTTCACATTTTGTTTCTCCTTTCAAATCAAGCAGACTGAGAAGACAGTTAGAAGTAGACTATATTCCCTGACAGACACCTACAATTGAATGATTGCATATGCTTGTTGGTAAATTTCCCACTCACCAGCCACCATGTGGTATCTTTTTATTTTCCACGGGCTGTATTAGGAATGCAGTCTCCATAATCAAGTACCTACATGCATTTGAAATTAAAAAAAATAGTTATAACCTCTACCTCATGAATGGAAGTCAGAGCATAAAAGAGAGATTTTTCCTCACCTGATATAATGAGCATTTCTTAGCACCTTAGTACATGAAAAGCGACCGTCCTAAAGCAAGTGTAAAATCATCTAGTGTGACTATGCAGGAATATGTGGTAGGAAGTCTCTTCCACTCAATCACTTTGATTGACCATCCATCAGACACACACGGAGGGTACTGTACTAAGTCACAATGCAATGTATGGCTATAGCTTGGACTATATACATATAGACACTTGTCTCAGAAGTCCAAAGTGATTGAATGAGTGGCAACTCATTCAAATTGCAACCTGGGAAATAAAAAAATAATAATAAAAAGAATAAATGTGGTTTTTTTCAGTTTGTCTGTTTGTTTGTTTTTTGTTGATATGAGAGCAGAGACAGAGGAACATAGACCCAGAGATGTTGTGGGATCTCTATCCTTGGAGATACTCAACAAACGAATGAATGAGGTCTCATAAAACTTTATATGGAGTAGCTGCATTTCCTGCAGGAAATTTTACAGGATAACCTGCAGAGATTCTTTCCAGTGTAAGATACTAAAACTACTGCATTTATGTATTTTCAGTGTAAATTGCTCACACACTGATCTAGCATTCCCAGGTATTCCATGAGATCACTGCATAACTCCAGCCCTGATACAGGAGAGTCCCCCGTCCCTGCTTATCAGCCAAGTCACTTCCATCTTCCATGAAGACCATTTATGCGCCTGTCATCTGATACTGCAGCTGTTCAGGAAAAGTATTCAGACTATCCTGAAATACTTACCCATTTTACTGAAAGACTTGGAATGCAGAAGATTTAAAAACATAGCAGAACACCCTGCTGTCACAGAAGATCTTAAAATATGGAACAAGATAACTGCACATATCTTTTAATTTTCTACGTATATACTATTTATATTCATGAACATATAAATATAGTCTATATTGAGCTATGCGTATACAGCTTTTTAAAAAAGAATAAAAAGGAAGGTATAGATTTTGAGTGAAACATATATGGCAATCTCCCATTAGAGCAGAGCAACAGGCTACTATTAGCCTGTGGTAGCTGACAAACTAAGCTGTTTCCTGGTAAGCTTGATTACCCCCTATCCAGTCCCATTGATGAACTAAGTTCTGTGTAAGGAGGTTTCTTACATTCCTCGTCAACTGGTATTCATTGTGTACCCTACAGCATTAGATCTTATAAGGTTTTGAAATCATGAAACATTGTTACGTGTAATGTGAATACATGAGGACATTCTCATTTTATAAATAGAAAAGCCTGTTAAATGCTAATGAAGCCAAGGAGCTTTTTACTTCCAAACTACTGTTTTCTTTCCCTGGGAAATTTTATCTGTAATAAAAAAGCGCCTTTGCAGAGGCTGTAATGGGTTGTTTAAAAGCAAACAAAAAAAAAAAAAACACACAAGAAAACCCCCATACAAATCCTGAGAGAAAAGCCATGAGAAGAATTAAATGTTTGTGCCATCAAGGCATTAAAAACAAAAATACAAAGTGTGCTATATTTAAATTAACTTTAATAGGAAGTACAAAAAGATAATGTTAAGCAATATTTTGCATGTGATTAATAAATATTCTTCAATAGCAAGCAAAGTGACACATTCAAACATAAATCCAGTTATTTCTTTTACATTTTAGAAAAGTAACAAGTTTTTCCAGTTAAAACAAGGTCACAAATTACAGAATATTATCATCGTCTTTAATTATTTGTAACTATGAAATCTACTAAATAAGTGATCTTTCACCCAGAAGTTTTTATATGACATTGATGTTCAAGGTTAAGAATACTTACATTTATCATGCAGTTTCTTATTTGTATATTTGGTGTTCAGTTTTCTTTAGAATTATTGGCTCCATTCTTCCTTTTTCTGTTATCTCTTGTTAATACACTGGAAACACGTATTTTCATACTCCCATACATTTTCACATCTAAGTGACTCACTAAAATAAATTTGTTATTCAATATATAAACGTTTTTCTGACCACAGTCCAGCTGAGAAATTGTTAACGTCTGAATCAGACTCCACAATATTTTTATCATTTTTCTTTAATCAAGATTTATTCTAATTACTTTCATTAAAATTAAAGTGCTTTTAAAGTTCTCCTAGTAAAGTGACTATGCTGGAAGGTAGAGGGTGAAGGAATGCTTATGAACTCATTTTTTAACAGTTTATAGAGATGGTGAATATTGTATGTGTGTATTCGAATAGATGTAAAGTACAAGATTGCATTCCATGCTAATGCTAAGCTATATTAGCCTATAAACTGATAAATTCAGCAAAAAATGAATACCTACTAAAGAATATCAAAAGCAGTTGATCAAAGCTATCTCTTGTTCCATACTCTCCATCCCCAACAGAATAAATAGATGGATGAAACACTAGAAAAGAAATACACTTCAACTTGTTGAATCTTACCTGTTTGTGCATCAGATGAATGCAAGTACTCAGAGCAATCATTAAACATCTTGAATGCATAAACACATGCTCCAGGCAACTTGATCAAGTGAAGAATTCTTATATAAGGATTTTAAATTTGAAAACAGAATATAACTTTCAAATAATACAACAATATAAATATATTCATATATATTTATGTAGACACCAACACTAGAGGAAGAAAGTACATAATCTTGCATATTTTAAAACATCCTCCAGATTCATTTTTGAGAGTGTTAGCACTCACTTCTAACTCACAGCACTTTCAAAATACTCTTAAAAGGCATTAAAATGTGCCATGGCTAAAACTGACATCAATTCTCATATTTTAGTATGGTTGGTTCCTCTAAAATTTTTCTTGGGTTAAAGAACTCTCTATCCAAACAAGGGCCCAAGTGTACTCCAAGGCGTATTGGCCTTCTGGAAAAACAACTTAGCGACTGCAGTGATATAAAGGAATATGCTTGAAATCCTAATCAGTTTCCTTTAAATTCAGCCCAAGTTTTGCCCTGATCTCATTCAAAGAGATCAAGCCCTCAAAGCTTAGCCTCCCCCAGTAAGACCTGATTAGGTCTTACTGAGTACAAGAATTCACCTAGAGAGATGTAAATCTAGAAGAAGGAAAATTAAACCAGTAGAGGAAAACAACCTTTTCTATACTTAATGTATGCCATTCAGTGAAAAAAACTTTTGAGACTTTAACTTGAATTTAACTACTGAAGTTCTAAAGTGAAGACGACATGGATTTTCAGAAGGCTGGAACTAATATTAGAATTTATAATAGCAGAATTAAAAGTTCTGGTTGGTAGGGAGTTCGGGTTACCTACAGAAATGAAGTAAGGAAGGATCCCTGGACTAGAAAAAAATATAAAAGAAGGAAATGTTAAAGGGATGTTTAAGGTTATATTGCAAATCGACAGCATTCTAGCTAACGATATATTGTCATTTTGAAGGGGTGGTAGGAATCCCGAAAATCTACTTTCTAAAAAACCACCCACTTTATTGGAGGCTGTAGTGTGACTTTTTTTTTTTTCTTCTTCTTATTTTAATGTTTCAAGGTAAATTTTACCACTTTCAGAGATTCTATTTAGATTTGTTCAGACAATTGCATTTTTATCACACTCTGCTCTTGTTTTGTTTTGATTTTTGTTTTAATGAAACCATTGAACTTTTGTGATTCATTTTTTGAATGTTATCTTACTCTGTTTCAAAACTCACTGTATTTCCCTACTTACTTTAGCATTCTGTGTTTGCACGTAATGAGCTGACCTGTTCATGTCCATACTGAAGTTCGTTTTCATTTAAATCTACCAGGAATGGACAGAAGTATGTTTTATTTGTTTTATAAAAAGCAAAAACAAGAACTTATGCCCTACTGACTTTTCAGAATAGGAATGAGAAGTGTGGAGAATAAATATTGGCTATCTGTGCATAAGTGAATCACACCGCTTAAGCAAATAAAGCCTGGTATTAACAAATTTCTACTTTACTCCAGAAGCTTCTTTCCTCCTTCTGCCTTAGTTTTCAGAAATTGCAGAAAACACAAGATTTTGCATGTTTTTCAAGTAGTCAGTAGAAGCCTCTCCATTTCAAAGGCACAAATCATTTCCCTCAAGTTCAGCAGAATTATACGTGAAGTATTTCAATTTTACGCTCTAAAAGTTACTTTCTCTTAATTCACATGTAGCAATGAAAGCTGAGAACTGAACCTGAATAAAAATATACATTACCTCTTCAATAATTTCTTCAGCAATCATCTTACAATCCACAGACACAGTAACACTACCATTTTCTTCTCTTTAACCCTTTCCTCCTCAATATATCCATACCTTCCTCCAGCTGCTGCTGGTTGCTTTCACACAGGTAAAAGTCAGCCCACTTTAAAGTCTCACCACCCCATGTTATCTATAACCACAGGGAAGAGAAGGTGATTTGGTAATGTTCCTGTCTGGTGAGTACTGAAGCTCTTTTGTTCTCTCTCCCATGACTGTAAAAGCAGACCAGCTCCTTAATTTAGTATAATATTCAGTGGTATGAGTAGTCTCCCAAGCTAAAGCTCCTATCTCACAGCACCTACTGTAACACCTTTTTAAGATATTCAGTAGTGCAGCAGTTAAGAGTTGATTTGCCCAGATACAGGAAGTAAAGTTAACTTCATTGGCTACAACATGATCAAAAATTCTGGAAGCTCCTGTTTTAAAAGCAATCTGTTAGGAAGCCTCCAGCAGACAACCCTGGCTGATAAACCCTGCTGATCTCTATATTCTTCATGCTGACATATAAATTACTGTTAAATTACTGACCGCGTGCATCCAGAATTACATTCCAGTTCTACACTGGAAATTTATTCTATTAACCTTGTTCAGATTTAAGATAATTCCAATCCATGTTTACTGCAATATTGTATCATTGCATTTATCTATTTGTTCCTTAAGTTACATTAAAAAAATGATATGACACTCTGATCCAAGAATAACAGGAAAAATAAATTAAACCAGCATGTTAATCAGAATTTCACAGGTAGATTCCATGTGCAAGTCTCGGGTACTAGTGACCTGCATTTATTCACTCATGCCCTCTAAGTATTTAATATCAGCAAGTCTTATTTGAAATAAAAGAAGATTTCATGTGTTTGGCACATGCATTTCTGAAACAAGCTTTAAATTCACATACACAGAAGTTATACCATTAAATGGAAAGAAGGCCTATATTCACTGTTCCCTGCAGGATGCCTACATTCACTTAGCTGGCTGTTAGTCCTACAAGATTGCAATTTATGTGTAATCAATTTACTTATTTTCAATATTTCAGTAGTGAAATAACAAAGCAGACTCTTCTCCCACATGATATTGCTTGAATACAAACCAACCAAACTAAATGTGAAAATGAACCTTTTATGTAGTGTACACACTCTAAAACCATGCTGAAGCCCACAGGAACTGCATGCGGCTATTTAACATGGTTAACTGAGTGAATTTATATAGTCAGCCTATTTTTCTATATTAGTGTGTGATAAAAGTATTTTCAGTATATGATAAATGCCTCTTCTTTTGCTTGATTGTCTCTAGATATAAGACAGAGAGAAAACGGTCAGTGAATGAAGAAACAATTGCACCCAATAGAAGCAGTAGTAGCAGAGCTGGCTAATATGAGACAGCACCAGGCTTCTTGTGCAAACTGAAGAAATGCTTTTTGCATGCAGCTGAAAATTACACAGATGTTATTTATCAGAAAAAAAAAAAAAAAGGACTTGTACAGGTAACAGCATTTGAGGGTATCTGTTCTAAGAACGAAAAATCCTTCCAAAATCCTTCCTTATTAGGTAACCCAACATGTGACTGAGTACAGGCATGTTTGCAGTGGGGAGAGTTTTGTCTACATGGTATCATCCACAGAGAAATGCAGATTATTTGAACACTGTGAAGGGTGAAACACAAACTTCTCTTTCTCAAAGCCCAGTCAGTGAGGTTCAGAGAGTCCTTACATCTTGCTGGCATGAACTGAAGGTAAGAACTCTCACTAGGTCACAGAAAGACCTCAGCTACAGAAAACATAATCAAGCTACTCAAGTCCAAGAGCAGTTAAGCATGGGCCTCCATTAAACTATACAGTCAGAGCCCTTTGCCAACAACAAAGTTAAAAGTGAAGGGGATTTTCTACAGTTCTAATATTTACAATTATTTGTACATATGTACATATTTATATATTTATTCATACCTGGACAATGTGACAATAAAGGGATCATTAATTATTACAAATAAAACATTTTAAAAATGTATAGCTATATCATGAAAGAAACCTCTTTTATTGCTTGCCTTCCAGCCTTATGCTTATAATCACACTATTGCACACATCTCCATATTACATGGAAGATCTACATTTATATATAGATATATGAAAATAAGGATATTTTTATTTTAATTTTATGAGTAAAGTGCTCTTTAACTACTGTTGATGAAAAAGGCTTAATCTGAAAGTTTAATCAGAGGGACTTAAAGGGGTACACATCTTGTCCATAATTCTCCCTTTATTTTGCTGACTTCTTTATTTTGCTGATGTTAACTCTTTTAACTATTCATTCTATTCATAAAATGCATTTGTGACCTTGGCATCTATACAGTCACACAAAGTACAAAACAGAATCACATTAAAAGCAAAGAAAATGCAAGAAAATAAAACAACAAATAAAAGCAGTGTTTCTTTTTGTTGTTTTTAGCACATTTCCATGTCTTAAGATACTCTTTTATTTGATTTTAGAAATATTTTTACAACTTTATTAAACTCTGAACATACCTATTTTATGCACTATACTCAAGTACTGTACAAAACTGCAATAAATGACACTATACGACTACATATGTCTACTAGAAGACATCATCATAAAGGTGTATCTTTTTCTAACGGTCAACTAATAACTGCTAATGTATGTGTGAATCAAAATATTTTTGATTGGCTACATATACTAAATTCTAAATGGAGTACACAATTACTACTTACGTCATGATTTACCAGGCCTTTAGGGGCATAAAGAATCTTTGCAAAGGCTCAGATGAAAAACAATTTACTGATCAGTATTAAATGTTCATATAAAATTGCAAATGGCAGATCCAGTTCTGTTATATTCATATATATATATGAAATACAGGTGATACCTACTGATGATGCATGACCTTTTATTAGAAAAATAACATTCAAATCTTAGCAAAACCATTTCTAGTATACAAAGTTGTTGTAAATTTATGTCAGCGAAATGTAAATTTGCAATTTACAAAAGCAGCAGTAAATTTTATTCATATGGACAGTTTCCTGAACTTAAAACATAAATTCTTGTTTCCTGCGAAAACATTGCTTCCTGGGAAAAATGCAGGCAAATCGTTTAATGGCAGATTTTTTAATAACACTGAGCAAGGAAAAGAATGTATTATGTTACTGATATACTTAACCTTGAAAAATTTCTGAGTGCTTTTATGAACCTGACAATAATCTGACTAAGAATAAAGTCAAGAAGCAGAAAAATCAAGAAACAGAAAAATCCAACTTTGCTAAACCAGGTTGTCTGGCTCAACAACGTCAAATTAAGAAAACAGTAAAGAGTGAAAGTTGATTAATATTAGAAATCTGATCAACGCTTTTCTGTGAAATTAACTGTAGTAGTTTATTAACAACTTCAAACAGGACAGAAGTAAGAAACTTGTGGCTTTTGCAATATAGTAGCCTTTACTACCTCCTCAGCCTATCTAGTATCCAGAATTATTGTGAACAGAACTGTATGACCTCCGTACTCTTATGTACATGGGTACTGCTATTGTATGAAACAATTACACTCTTAAAAAAATCATTTTTAAATGACAATTCATTTCATTAAAGTAGAATTAGTTATTTATAGAAAAATATTTTAACTTTAAATTAAAAAAATACTGTTCCTAAATAATTATGTAGGATCATATCTTTATTTCTTCGTACGGAGAGAATATAATTCTGTATATTTGAATCCTAGTTTAACAGAGCTCCCCTGGGTATAACTTTTAAAGAGTTGGCTATTTTTGCCATGGGTGCTATCTGTTTACAAACCCATGAATTAACACTGTGTCCCTCCTTTGGAGATACACAGATAAGACATCTATATACACTCTGTACATAATGGTTCACATATTAGCAGTTATTAGTCGTAATGTACATAGAGGACAACCTATCTGATTAGAATGATGTTTTAAGTCCTTAGTGCAATTCAGGTTTTAGGTTGATGGTGCAAAGCCAAGTAAGACAGGCTCTCTGTTTAAATATGTAGCCCAGTACACTAAATTGAAAGTACCAAATAAGACTGGAAACACTATTCTAGACATTCTGTCAATTTTACTAACACTGTTGAATGTCTTCTTTGCTTCCTGTGGCTTCGCTTCTGGTTTTGCCTTGTTGGGTTCTGCAGTTGTAGCGCTCTTGGAGATGGTTGGTAGAACTGAGTCCTTGGTAATATTTGGAGCATAGTTGGCAACAGCCACTGCATAGGCATTGTTTTTCTTAATGACAGATGCTTTTTCTTTTTTCTATTAGAGACAGCATTAAGTTAAATAGTTAATGTATATTTGCCATATCAGACTTAGCATAATAAAAATTGCAAACGCAAAACAAACAATAAGTATATTAAAATAAATGTCAAGTATAACAGTGGTAAATTCAAATTTAAAGAAAAACATATCCTACCTGAAAAGAAGGTATAATATATCATCCCCAATAATTTCAGTAACAGTCTACATTTTTAAGCTATTATGTATTGTTCTTCATGCATTCAAAATACTGAGAAACCATCAGTAAATTAAACTTCACCTGCTATCATTTGAGAAGCAAAAAATTAGTATATCCTAATTTTAGGATACAAGTAAGAGTACTCTTTGTCAAAATAATTACTTTTCCTTTAGTAGCATTAGGGATTGGGATAGGACAAAATTATTTAATCAGAACAGTCTACTTTAACATTTTTTTCTGTGACACTAAAGTGATAAACTATAAATTCAACACAAATGTAGGAGTATTACCAGTTAATTTTATTCAGCAAGTAAGAAGTTATGTCTGCTTAAAATTTCTACATGTTGTCACATCTACCTTACTATCAATACCAGAAAATTAAGGCATGTTTGTGATTCCATGCGCTCTTTATAGTGAAGTGATCAAAATTTTGTAGAACAGCTGTTTGAATTAAAAGTTAATGTTTATATAACATTAGGGATAAATTTAAGAATTCTGAAAAACTTCCAATCTTCTAGATAAATTAGATGTTATTAATAGTTGTTGTGTGTAGGTGTATTCAGCTGCTTTTCTGATCCTTACTGACAAGTTAATATACGTAATATCTTCCTCTAATATTCTTCTCTTCTTCAAAACAACTGGATTAAATAATAATAAAGTTGTCAACTGATATCATATGGATTAAATTTTCTGAATGACTGGAGAAAGAGTTTTATCTGAGGAGTCATTAAATAAATTTGATAGCTCCCAATATAAAAAAAAAAACATGTCTCCCAATATAAAAAAAGAAAACATGTATGAGATAACTAAATCTGGATTATTGACACCAAACAACATTAGCTATACTTAGTGCAGGTATGAGCTAAATCTTAAATTTGTAATAGGACAAAAATCCTGTTGCCTTCAACAGGAGCTTTGCACACTAGTAAAGATTTTTCAGGCTTAATGTGATATAAAGTCATAGTTCAAAGACAAAAATGATCACATAGATGCCGCTTAAATAAAAGATGATAGAGTGTAACTGCCACCGAAGAAAATATTTTTATGGTTTAATGATTCTCAGTTTCAACTTTATGTTCTTGATATAGTATAAATATCTCCTTTTATTTTTGCGGATATACTATGTTGATAACAGTAATAATAAAATGCTCTATCAAGTCAACTTCTTTGTGAAGCATAACAATAAAGTATGCATCTCAAAGTCAGCTAAAGTCTCCAAACTGGTTTACACTGTTGAAGGTTAAAAGATCTGCAGCACATTTCAGCATAGCAGAGATACAGGAGCATAAGATTACTTTTTCAACAGTGAGTACGTACGCAAAGCAGGTAGGCACACAAAACATGTCTTATTCCTTCTATGCATAGGAGGCTAGCCATACTTTGATTTTCTGCATGCACCTTCAAAGCCAATTCTTGAAAGTTGTTCCAAGGTATAAAAGGAAAAATTGAGGCTTAAGTTTTCACACAAAAAAAAAAAAAAACAAAACAAACAAACAAAAAAAAAAAACCAACCAACCTACAGTTATAATTTATCTTGCAGCTCAAATATAGTTTGAGACCCCTGGCTTGCACATCCAGATAAAAAACTTTTCACTGCCTTGTCTAAACACTTTCTCTTACTACATAAAATAGGAATAGACTATTTTCTTAATCATAAAATGTTGCTTCCTAGGAATTCTTCTGGGCTTTAATATGCTACTAAGGTTCATATATTGCTGAAGCTTGCATCACATCTCTAAAAGCAGAGATAGTAGTCACAATTAATAGAGATCACAATAACACTCTTGCATTTTTTGTGGAATAAAATTATACTCCCATAACCTATTTCCTGAAAAAATAAGGAATACAAAATAAATAGGTTGCTCTCAAAGTAATGTTCCTATTTATATCTATGGAAACTACAACAGATACAAAGAGCACAACAGGACTGTTTGAGCAAATTCTCAGCTACAGAACACTGTTTTTCAACACAGTAACCACCATTAACTATGCATTTTCACCTGCAATGAACAAAAACTTTTGTGCTGCACTCATACAAATCTGAACCAGTGGAGATGGCTCACTGTTGCTGTTGCCACTGCTGAAATGCATCACTCACCACCTCACTAAACTCACATTGTTTGATCTCCATAAACATTTAGCAAGTGTCCATGAATGTCAGTGGGTGCCATTTTTTAACATAAGGAGGAATTCAGTGACATAACTTTACTTCATGCATACTTCCATGTCAGACATCATTTTGTTAGGCTGCCCCACTGCTGCAACTTTCACATGGCAAGAAAATTTAACAGGATATTGATGGGAAGATTGAACCTCTACACTGCCATTCTGCCAACATGACCCTTTAATGTCATGGGCCATAATAATAATATAGGAGGCACTACTTTCAGAGCAAGCCTTGTGTGTTGAATTTAGATTCTTAGCAGACAGTGTTTGGTACAGTGCAGGGAAGCTTGTCTCAAAGTGAAAACGCAACTGAACAAGATTTCGCCCAGATGCTTCACAACTCCATCAGATTTTACAAAATATTTATAAAATTAAATAAATATAAGCAAAGAATATAGAGTTCCTAGGGTTTGTTTGTTTGATGATTTCCTTTACTCTGGTTTAAAGCATGCAGTTAAGACTTGCCCTGAAAGAAATTAGCAGGCAACCCAGACAAGGGCCAGTCATTTAATGAAATTCATTCTGTTTTGTATTGTGTACAGCTAGATGGCTAGGACCTTGTGACACAGTGTGGTCACAAGCTACAGGATAATAATCCTGTCACCTCACCAGGCTTTCTTGTTAACTGCTGTGAGCTTCCTCCACTTTCCTCAGAAACATTATCAAAAGGTTACTGTCACAAGAATAAGCTATTGTAAGCTGATAATGGGGAAGAAAATATATTAAACACTGCTAAAAATTGAAGTAGCCTCATTTTGAGAAAGAAAAATTCTTATATAGCTTTTCCTTACATATTAAATGATATGGATTAAAGAAATGATCAATTGATAACTATGGCATGAAAATATGCAGATACATACACATGTATACATACATGTATATTGCACATATTCAGGAAGCCCAGATAAAACTTTTTTTCATGTCACTAATGACATTACTCACCTCAAACGCAACGATTAGTGAATGATCTGATTGTACAGTAAGACCGGATATTTTTGGTTAGCAACTTCTCAGAATCTATGTATGATTTATGTTTCAAAGTGATTCAAAGATAAAGGTGCTAGTTAAGCTCCAATATGATTAAGAAAATTACTTCTAGAAGTTTTAAATAGTATTCTCATTCCTACCTTATTCATCCTTTATTTTCCCTCACCTGTCAGTGTCTTTTCTTATGATTTAAAGATCATGTGTTTTCTAGTAATAGCCAACTTAAAAAAAGTATCATAGTTGTTTACTACTCTTGATTAGAAGTAGGGCTATTCCTTTAGGACTTACCTTATCATTCACTACACTTTTTCCATCCCAGGCCCATCCTCGTTTTGTGAAATAATTTACAGTTGCAAATTCAATTAGTGCAGAGAATACAAATGCATAACAAACAGCAATAAACCAATCCATAGCTGTTGCATATGCTACTTTGGGGAGTGAATTTCGAGCACTGATGCTCAGTGTTGTCATTGTCAACACAGTAGTAACTCCTGTAAGGGGATAAAAAAAAAAAAAAAAAAAAAAAAACACCAACAATTTTACTTGGATTTTGAATGTTAAAGTACAAAACAAAACAAAGTGAAAATTTGTTTATCTAAGGTGGCGTCGTACTAAAGGCAGTGTCTGGAGTCGTTTTGAAGAATTTAAGTCCAAGATCATTATTTAAAAGTCAGTGTTTAAATTTAATTTAAAACTGTTTACAGATCTCTTTATTTACAGATACTCTTTTACACCCTTTTTTCTTTGGTATTTTAATAAGAAAAGTTTTATACAGCTGCCTACCAAATACCTGTTTTTACTGCAATGGCTACAAGTCTGGCATTCATCTTTCCAACAGTATATAAAATCTGACACTCTTTTCAGTAGAGATAATTAAATATATATGTTTTCAATTCAATTTCTTACCAATCAACCAATGACACAGTTGAAGACCTAAAGAGGTTAACTTTTCATTCAGATTTTCAGACAAGATTTTTTTCCTAGAAAACAGCATACTGATTTTAAGAGATTATTACAACAACTGTATATGATATGTGAGAAAATAAGACTTGATCCACGAGTGCTCTTCTTCATTGTAACAGTTGTTAAAAACACTTTACAATGCTTAATGAGAACCCAGCAGGAAGCCAGAAATTCTACAACAACAAAAAATAATCAGAAAAGGGATACTTCTGAAGGAAAGATTAGACCGTTATTCTGAATATTTTAGCATGAAGAAACTCACAGCCAGAAATGAAATCTTCATTCCTTAGGCAAATCAGTTCTTACACCCAAGGCTGAATCACACTTAGACAAACTAAACTATTCCCTTTGTGGCACACCATTACTTATGTTTCCAGAAAAAAAAGCAAGACAAAGTGAAATACTTAGCATAGATCAGCAAACTTGTACTTGATTGACAGGCTAAGGAGTTTCCACAGCAGTGAAATTAGTAACAGCTTCAACAACTGCAAACTCATAAAATTGTTGTCACAGGAGTCCCTACAGAAAAGTCACACTCCTTAAGTCAGATCCTCTGCTGTTAGCAATCTTTTACCTAGGTTCTGCAGGATCAACCTAGATGAGACTTTTCTTCTGCTAGAAGATAAACACTTTAACCTCCATGGAAGAGGGAAGAGAAGCAGCAGCTATACCTACTCAGACCTTTTCAGGCGTTGCAATTTCTATCATTCCTGTGAAGAATTTTCACCTCTGTGGTTGTTACAGAGGATGACAGAGCAAAGCTAAGTGGACTCAACCTGTGCTGCTCTCTCAATAAGTGCTTCCAGAGGTCATAATTCCAAAAGGAAGACAAGGCACAGAAACATCTGCTGATTCACTCAGTATCCACAAATTTAAGCAGACATAGTTCATTAATTGCTATTTTTTGGCCTGCACATATCAAAGAAGGGGATTTAGTCTGGAGTCAGTTGTGCTGTTGTTATCTAAAGCCTGTACAATGACAAGGAAGCACATTTTGTTGTATGGAAATGGGTAGACAATGTATTTTGTGAAGAATTTTTTCTCCTTTGACACGCAACATATGGCTTAATTATTTTCTGCACTTCAGGGAAAATGTAGTCTATCTATTCAAAATTATCACATGCAAATTTTAACACAGGTCTTGAGCTAGAGAGAAATAATTTTAATTACACAGAAGTACCAGTGAAGTGATTGTTTCTCAGAAATACAATGACCTTATCCATATGCAAATATATGCGGTTGATAAGGTAGTCTCCTGTTTAAGACCTACATTTTAGAATAAACTAAGCTTCTTGAAGATCCATTGTCTTCTTCAGAAATCTTAAGATTAACTGTTGACCTTTTTTAGTCTCAATTAAAACAACATGAATTTACATCGTGCATCTTGCTACCAGCTGACAATTTCTCTGCAAAGTTCAACAAGGCAAGCAACTTTGTGACTGTGTTTCAGTATATTGTCATACAGCTGGTATTTATTCCTTCATTCTCTAAATTTAAGCTAGCACATTCATTTAACCTGAATTGAATGGGAAAAAAAAAATATATGGAAAGTTTAGTCTGTGATACTCTGATCTTAGAAAACTCCAGAAATTTTCATTTCCTATTCTTCAGTCAAACAACAGATGATTTTGCATACTAGGTAACTTGAAACAACAGTAACTTCAAGTCATCTTTAAGAAAAAGGAATAAATGAAAATAACCTTTTCCCTATTGCTGCTTAGCAGTAACACTTATGAACTAAAGTTTTAATATAAAGCATTCTCCCTACAATAAGAGGCAATCAAAATATTAGAGGGAAACAATCTCCTACACTAAATCTGAACAGTCTAAATAATTTCAAAGGCTATGTAGTGACGGAATCTTACCTCACTATGATGAAGAAAGACTACACTTTATGTACAGGTTGAGAACTATCTTCTATAATTCCTCTCGTCCACACTGCCATCATATGATGGCACTGTGTCAGAAAAACAGGGGCAAGCACTATCTTATAAGATGCAACAAATACTCATCAGTTTGCTTTTAAAAAAGGTCAAGAAATGAAACCTTTAATAGATCATTTTGATAACATTTCTCTTCTCTTAATAAGATCAATCATTCTGTACTTGATGGCAAATATACTGTTGAGAAGGAAAGTTGTAGTAACACGAAGGTATATGCCTATGAATGCTAAAAAAAAAAAAAAAAAAATCTTTTAGCACTTCAGATTTATCCATTCAAGCTAAGAATGGAGCTGATTGCCTAGGATTTACAGTGGAGCTTTTGAAACCGCATCTGCTCACTGAATACAAGATATACATCTACAGGACTGTAAAATTGAACATCTCTCACTGACATTAAATTTGCATCTGTGAAAAATACCGGCTTTGACATGTTCTGGATCCCAGAATGCACAGATATTATTCAAGAATTGTTTAAAACTAGGCAGCTTCCTTTCAGCAAACAATGTCTATTGCTAAACAGTATAGGTAACAGCCAGACAATGACTGAAAAAGGAAACCCAAAATATACCTAACTGAAAACACAGTGAAATTGAAGGAGCTGGCACATACATAATGAAGTTAAATTCAGTGATGACGACTAGGCTCATGTTGATATATGTGTGCAAATTCAACCTATTCCTTAGCAAGGACAGGTTCTTTCAGATCCTAATTCTACTCCTTGTGTAACAAATTCATTTTCTAATTTGAACAGACTTAGTTGTCTAAATTATATCCTATCTGTATTGTATTGGAATGTAAATATCTCCTTTGAAAATGAATCCTACAAATCACAAAAAGGACATTCTGTAACAAAATAAGTACTTCAGCTTTTCAAATAATCTGCACAAAATCCTTAAGTTGTGTTTCAGATCTTAAAATACGCTGCTCTTTTCACAACTTCATCTTTTATCGCACTTGTTATATATAACAAAAAAAAGCTGATTTTTTTTTTTTTTAAGGTTAATTAGATCACTTAACCTGGTAAAAAAAAAAACTGAATAGGTTAATAAATACAAGAGAAAGTAATGTCTGATCTCTCTTTTATGGAAATAACTACTAATAAATTTTACTACAGTTTAAAAGGTTGGGGCACTAAACAAATGCAGATAAGCTCTGGAAATAGTGTGATATTAGAGTAATTTGACTACACACCATACTGTTTATGTGCATACGCATTACATGAGAATACAATACAAAACAACCAACAACCTACAAGCCAATTCCCAAAGCTGAATGGCAAGAGCAGTCTACTCCAGCTCCCACACAAGTCTCATATGATTATGCTTCCATTAACACACAAGCTACAGTCTTGGGATAGCACTGAGCTGGGAAGGCATTAGCTTGTTGGCAGCCAGCTCTGTCTCTAACCAAGTGCTACTGCTTATCATACATGCTTCCCATTGAATACCTCTTGAGTGTTATGTCTACGTTAACACAACTCCCCTACTAAGCAGCTATAGGATGAAAGTTCTGAGTGGAAGGTTATCTCTAAGGACACAAGATAAACTGTGGCCTCTGAAAGAAAGACAGACAGTTGAGGCTTCTTTTTTTTTAAAAGAAAATAGGACAAAAATACATGTATATACAGAACTGTTCAAAAGGCAGGGTCTACCTCATTCAATTCTCTTGTAAAAAATAACCACATAAGCAACCTGAACTTGTCTAAGGATCCTATTTCTGTATTTGCAGAATCAAAAAGCCTGTCTGTTTAAGGTCTAAATAGCTTTTTGTTTCAAAATGCATATTGATATAGATTCAGAAAAGTTACACCAAGAACAAACAGGGAAAGGGTTGTAGCAGAAGAATAAAATGAGAATAAAGTTTGAGTTCAGAACACTGCATATTGGAAGTGTACTAACAAAATAACACAGCTGTTATTTCAGTTCTTGCCTTGCTCACTTTGGGGATCATAGAATACACATCTTACTACATCTATTCTAATATCCTCATTCCTACCCTGAAGGAGTTAAAACAATACCTACTGTGCTAAGAAAGATGATTTCTTATTTTTCTGTGGCTTGCCTCGAATCTTGCAATTCAAATACATGTGATGTTTTTAAATGTTATGACCCATTGAAAATGAAGTGAAAATTCAATAACCTGCACAAGATTTGCTTTGCTAATATTGTTAATAATAAATGCAGAACAATAAAAACATTACTAAATGAAATAGATAGTAATCTTGCACTAAATGAAGAAATTATAAACCAGGCTTATTCCCTTTCATTAAAAACACAAACACTTTTCAAGTTTGTCTGTTATAGAAAACACATTCAATACTTATTTACTTAACAGTGATAAATTCTTTTTCTTCCAATAATTTAAAGATGAAACAATAGAGTATTAAGCCACTGTTCTTTTTGGACAGCTTAGGTCAAATATACTGAATAGATGCCATAAAGGAAAGGGATTAAGGAGCTCAACTATAAAAGAATACTCATCATATCAAGTCCATAATGTTAAACTACAGTTTGAAAGTACATCACAAGAGAAAATAGAAAGAATAATATCTTCTCTCAAACATAAAATACTAAGTGATATGTGGAGCTTTGAATAACTAGAGGTTACATTTCTTTGAAAGAGCAGTACTCAAACACTTAATCCTTCCCAGCACTTGGTAACTCTTAAGAAACTTCAAAAAAATCTCATCCATTCTTATAAATGATATATCAAAACTAATGCTTTCATCTTAATCATACTTTTAATATCTTTATAGTCAATGCAAAGATGAGTATCTTGCAAGAAACCACTTAATATAAAAATATTAAATATGATCAGTACAAATGTATAGTAAGCTCTCTTGCAAGTTTACACTTCATGCTGGAAGCACCTGATTTTACTATCTTAGCAGGATTTCTGTATAATTGGGTAGTGTCTAGCTGAAAGCAACACCCAAACAAACAACACCCTGAATGAATCCATGCAGCTCTGTCAGGATTAATTCAATGAACCAGAAAGCTTCAAGAAGCAACAGAGGAACTTTGTTATACAAGTGTGGATAACTTCACATTTTTGTAGCACATTTAGGCTGGAGACAAGAGGGCAATAGAAATCCCTGTGACAACTGCTGCCAGTAGGTATGGAGAAAGACTGGGGGATTCGCCTGGGGCTACATGATTAGAGCAACCATTAGCAGCTTACGCTGACAATCTCATTTGAAACAAAAAAATTAGAAAATAGCTCCTGCAGTGACATCCAACCCTGTGCAGAAGGCTAAGCATGTGGTACAACTGCTGCTCCATCAGGCAGAGACCAGATTCATCAGATGCTCAGTGCAAGCATCCAGGGTTTAAAGTGCCAGTCCAGGCTGGTCTCAGGTGGGGAATGAGGCTATAACTAGTGCTGAGGTGTATGCATGTTTGACAGAAATAAAATACTAGGATAGAAATTGTTATCTGCTCCCTATACCCATTGTGCTTAGTCAATATATTTTGGATTTTATGTCATGGGTGGCCTGGTTCTGCTCTTGTGGACATTCCACTCAGTTTTTCCAAGACATCCTGATACAGGCAAAATGATTACATCACATTGTTCATCAGTACATATTGTTCATTATCCAGAACACGCTTAAGTCTGATCCAATTAAATTTGCAGGCTGTTATACAGATATTATTTCTTTCCCCCAGATACAAGTTAAATAAAAAATAAAGACAGAACAAGAAAGATATATGCAGGAAGGGAGGTAAAGCTGCAGGAAAATTATCTTAGTGACTTGTTGCTGGTGATACTGTAACACTACATTTTAGGGAAAGAAGATGGAAGCTGTTTATAGACAAACCAGCTACAGTGTCCTAAAAGTATAGGAAATGGAACACAAAAGGACAAGGATGGAGGTATAGTATTTGCTATTGTACAAGGAAAGTGTAGGAAAAAATTCATTAAAAAGTGTGTTTTGATAAACGTAAGTGTACAAATTGACAGAAGAATTTGTAGAAAAAAATATTGTAACTGTCTGTTAAATGACTAGGAAAACATGGTAGAATTCTAGTGCCTCTAAAACTGCTGACCCGTTTCATCTGACTTCAATAAGGTTCATATTCAAACCTACAATTTTCATAATATGTTTTGTGGCATTTCCTCTACCAAGAGAGACTGTGAGTGCTTCGTTGTGCATGACTTATTTGAGTTTGGCGTATTTTTTGAAGACTGTGTGGTGTTTACTAATGATTAACCATAAGATTTTATACAGTATCTTTGGTAGCTGATTCCAAATAGGCATTATTTTTGTTGCACTTTTATCTTATTCTTTAAAAATCAGATTAGAAGAATTCTAAGTTGTATGTATTTAAAAAGACATTTGTTGCTTTGCTTTACTAAGGAAAAGAACAAAATCTTAATTTATGAAAAATGCTATCATACTTCACTACTAAAGCTATTCACTATCCTAAGGTACATTCCAGTTTGAATAAGTGAGAAAGATTTACTAGGCTCACAGAAAAAGATTTACTTTGAAGAACTGCAGTTTGCAAGTTTTAATGCATTCAAATAATTCAGGTCCTTAATTTGCTTAATTTACAAGCATACTTAGAAATGTACACATCTATTATGTATCAAAATGATTGAGTAATATCAGTGGAAGAAAGACATTTCAGAAAACAATGTAAATTAAATTTTAAATGGGAATTTCACAATTACATTCTATTTAATGGAAAATATTTTCACAGAAGAGAGGAAAGAATATAGGAACAGTTCTCACTTGCGCTGATTTCTCAAAGATTTGGTATTCCCTAGAGTTCTGTAAGATGCTGCTGAAAGTTATTTCAACTAAAAATAATGCCACGTTCTACAAAGTAAATTAAACAAAAAAAGGGCTCTACCAAGCACACTTCAAAAACGCTTCCTAACAGCTTCAGCTATTGCAAATAACACATGCCACTCAATGTACTCACCAAAAACTGTCCTGGCCGGTACAGATTCTCTGTTCAGCCAGAATGAGACTTGAGAGAGAATGACAGTCATGATACATGGGAGGTACGTCTGAATGACAAAATAACCAATTTTTCTCTTCAAGTGAAAATGAGCCGTCATTACTGTATATTCACCTAATGTGCCACAAAAAAAAAAAGTTTATAGTCTTCAGAAAGTCAGATTCTATAGTAAAATAAAGTTTGGCACATTTATACGAACCAAATGTACTGTAATTAAATTGAACAAAATGTACTGTGTAGTAGGAGGCATTCTACAGTATACAAGAAAATTTAAATTTGGGTAAAATTACATCTTATTCCTACTAAGATCCATGAAAGATCAGTTTTCAGGAACTTACATGAACTGTTCTATGTCTTGACAAGAATTTCGGTGCTGCAGGCTTCTTAATATAAGCAACCCTCTGCATTCACACAAAGCAGCCTAAGAACTCTGTCTACAGTCATAGAATCATCGCCTGACATATGTAGGTTCATAGTTTAGAGCCAAGTAGAATAATCCAACTATTATTAAATATATATCTTATTAAATATTATATTATTATAAATGTTTTCAAGAAAAAAATATGCTGACAGATAAAAAATGGTTAAAAATAGAATACTTTACCATTTAGTAGACAAAAAGCATTATTTACCATACAAAATTAAACAACCATCCAAGCCTTGGATTACAATTGTTAGTATTCAAGACTGAGTATTAAAAAAAAAAAAAATGTCACTGGGGAGCAGTTCACTTCTATTATTATTTGCTACTTTTTGACTTGAAAGAACTCACTGCTTTGAGTTATATGTAATAAACTACGGCTAATAACATTTTTCAGTAGCTTACCATTACTATAAGCCTACGCTCATTACAGCGAAGTGAGTGCTTTTTCTTAAAACTTTTTTTACTAACCTGTACTTGATTTAACTGTCTCTTTTCCAATTGTTTGGCCCAAAAGATCATACTGATTCAATCTTGAACCATCTGGTGCCACCTGTACAGAATCTGAAGCGTTATAAGTCCAAATATATGTCACTTCTGATGTTGTGTATGCATCTGTGGAAATAAGATATGATATTTTATCAGTTATTTTAACCAAACAAGTTACATCCAAATTCATCTACTTCGAAGAGCTACTTAATTACCTTTCAAAAGGAAACTTCAGAGAACTAAAATGTCTAGCAAAAACACCTGTATATTTTAAATAACTTTACTAGGGTTAATGCTTATGGCTGCATGGGATCAGGGCATGCATTTGTGTATTTATTAATCATGATTTGTATAAATTGCAAACAATAGTTCTTCCATACTGTCACAGATCCACTATGTATGAATACTAAAAGTCACAAAAAGTCAGGTCAGATGAAAAGAATGGTGATTTTTAACATTTAGAGTACACAATCTTTTTTAAAATTCATTTCTATACTGTTCTCACCTTCTATTTCCCTACTCTCCCCTTGGTAGTGTATCACAAATGTTTTGTTATTCATACCTGAGTATGGGGAAACAGGCTCTGTGACAATGCTCTTAAAATACCTGCAGAAGGTCAGTACCTTAGCCTCTTAGATCTATCTTTAGGGCATAATGTCATTAAGCAATCTGCTTCCTCATTACATTCATCAGAAAACATACATTTAATCCTAGTCAGTCAAAATAAACTAAAAAGGAAGCAAATCAGCACTGTATTTTAGATAGCATTAATGTCTCTTCAACAAGTAAAAAAAAAAAATAATGAATATATCTCACAAGTTTTTCCAATCTAATACAGTCATAAACAAATAGAGTATGAAAGGAAAAGGGTAAAACACTAACAGAAGAAATTGTGTGCTCATTTGATTGACTGAGACAAGTATATTTGAAACCTTATCCATATCTGCAGTGAGGTAAAAATAAAAAAAAAAGCAACATTTTTGCTGGACTGTAAACATTTTCACTTGAGAAATCCCTGCAGGCCTTGAAAGATGCTTATTCATTCAACTTGCCATCAACTGTAGGACTAACATAGCAGGCAGGCAGCACGCAGAGATGTTTAATACTTCCCTTCGAACTACCCATATTCCCACAAGAAACCCTCTACTTTAATGCAAATCATTAACCTTGCCAACTTCCAATTTGCCCCTATGCTCTCCACTGTTGGTTAGACTTTTTGATAAAGATGAAGAATGGCAATTTATTAAGCTACAGCTTCTTCAGTACATCCAGCTCAGCTTTTCTCTTGAGCACAAGAAAGAAACTGAGACAATCTTGCAGGCTGATGATCCTCTTAGCAATGTAAGATTAGCAGCATACACGAGGAGATATGACAAACATATACCATTGGCAGACTTGCTTCAGCTAAACCAAATCCTCAGGATTTTGGCTTAACCACTATTTATCATTTAAATTCAGTCCCAGAATGAAAGATGAAAAATGAAAGCCTAGAAATGAGTTCTAGTTAAAGAAGTGAGTGCTAAGCCTTTCAAAATGAACAGAAATAAGCCTTCACTGTGTGCCAACTGGCTGGAGCACAAGTGACTACAAAGAGAAAAGACAGCTTCCCAAAAATCACTTTTCTCACAGTTACACTTTCAAACCTGCTTTTTACTGGAAATGCAGAAAAACAGGAATAGAACAAAGAACAAATTAGTAGTGAAAACAAATAGAAAAGAAAAACAAAAAGCAAATCTCACACAAAGTCCAATATATCTATTCAGAAGGTTTTTTTTTTTTTACCTTAGCAGCGCAGATCAAGTCATGCTATGAAATAACTGCATAGCCTAAGTATCAGTTTTATAAAACAAGAATACCTATAATAATATCAGTTGTTTTGAGGCTACACTGAGTCTTTTTCTCCCTCATACATGTATCTTACTGTGCACATATATATAAATATTATTCATCAGTAGCTGGTTTTGGCCAACATTTCTTGTGTTATTTAGTTAAGTTGCATTATGTACTATAAATGTAATAAAATATTTAGTGGAAAAAAGGCTCCATGGCAAAACTATTATTAGTTTTCTATCTTTTATCTCAACAGTTAAGGCCTCCCTTTAGAGTGGCAGCATAATCAGAAACATAGACTTGATTAAATTTGCTTTTTTTCCCCTCCAAACTCCATAGAAATGGTACACACCAGCGCTATGGAAAGAATGTGCATAGTGCTCTGACAGCATTCATTTTGTGAATATCTTCTTAATGGTGGCCTATCACCTGTTTCACAACCTGTGGGGGCTACAGTAAAAATTAAAAGAGCCAGAATGTATTGGTATTACATAGTTTCCTTGAAAAAAGGATGCCATTTCCTGGGCCTGAAACAGAATATAGACTGCAGAAAAAAAATAATAATTGCAATGAAAAAAAACAGGAAATACATACAGCGCAATCCTAATTCACAAGGAAGAAAGTGAATGAATTTATATTGCCGTTAAAATAACAATACTGAGATCAAAGTTCACCTATCTAATTAGCCAATATGATAATGAATGATTTTTTTTTTTTTTTTAAATCAAAAGAAGCCATATGTTTTTGTCTTAACTAAAGAATGAAAAAGAAAACATGATTAAAAATAAGGAGGAAGAAAACATTTCAATAAATGAAGACACTCTTCCAAGTCTTTACTTGCTCTTTATTAATACAATATGTACATTCTACACAGCTTATGGGCACCTAGGTTTGTATTCATCAGTATGGTTAGCATTCTGGAATAAAAGCAGATCAGCACAGTGCTGAATTAGGTGCACAGTATTTACTGTTAAATTGTACCAAGAAAGTTTTAAAATACACTAAAAGACATAATAGCATAGATAAAAACAATTGCAATGTGTCAAGTTACAATTTCATTTAAAAAAAAAAAAAAAAAAGCACAACCTTGTGTTTTAAACCTCCCTTTAACAACTTATTTTTAACTAAAATGAAGGTTGAGCAATATTAGGTTTTCACTAATCAAAGACCATAATTCTGGTTATACACTTACAGCTGCCAAATTTCAGTGGGCATGAATGAGCATCCATAGGGAAGTCTTCTAAGTGCATTGGACATTCGGCTTGGACTGTAAGCCTAAAAGGCAAAAAGACCACTAAGCATTTAAGTCAGTTAGCAGGACAAGAAAATCAATTCCACAAAAATGAACAGTTCATATACTTATATATACACATACATATTTAGGAGATGAAACTGAAATGTTATATTAAAGTAATTTAAATTTAGATCAGCTCTTGCTTCCTCCCTTTTATGCGTTCCTTTGGAAAGCACTGACATATTACATCAAAAAATTAAAAGAGCCAACCTCAAAACTATGAGGACAGGACATTTAAATGAAAATATAAATTATGTAACTGAAGGTTTTTAAGAACTATCATTTTCTTCTCATAATATTCTGAGGTACATATGTGATTATATGGCTCTGAAAATATTACAAAACCACATAAAATGCAGTTGACTTAGCAAAAGACTGTATGCCACATTTCTTTTATCCTTTTTTAAGAGTCTGAATGTGAAATTGTAGGGGAAAAAAGTGTACTGTTTTAAAAAACTGCTGCTATTCATCCTGTTACTTGTAATTAGCATTTGTGTTTGTTTATAGGCATGACAACATGTTAACAGTGCTCATCTGTTGTTACAAGATGTTACGTTGGCTCATCTGGTGATAAATTCCCAGTAATATTGTATTAAATATGTGGATTAATACAGTAAAACAACTTCAAGCAGCTCAAACAAGTTTTGACATTTTTATTTTCCACTGTTTTTAGCTCAGTGAGTTAACTCAGCTTTAATTAATTAAAATTCTGCTTCTCCTTCCTATCTTGTAGGTTCCCTTTGGGTTGAAATTTTTCCTGCTCTTTATGTTGTTCTTCATCCATCCATCCATCTTCAAATATCAACTACATTTTCCTGCACTCCCAATGGTTCACGGTCATTGTATTCCCAATCAGATTTTCCAGTTTTTCCAACATGAACTCAAAACAAATAGAAAGTGTTCAGTGATTCTATTTGGCTTGATCTACTTTCTTGTTATTAAAGAGAAGAATGGTTTCAAACACTGTTGCTTACTTTCATAGAATGTAACTAGAGTATATTCTGAAGGAAGTGAATTTTAGTCATTTCATAGAGAAACAATTAGAAATATTTGAGATCAATTGTATAAATGGAGATCACAGTTTACTTCTTGAATACCATATAATATGATTTGCAGCCTACCCTTCAACATTCAGTACAAGGGCTTATTGGTTATGCCTATACATACATACCATTTATAACACTTATAAATTATTTTTCTGACCAAATGTACTATATTTACCAGCCAGGTGCTAGTCATTTCCAGAAGCAAAAATGAAAACTTTAAATAAAATCCTGTCATTAGATATATTTAAAAAGTTATTGAAGTGTAAAGTACATTTTCTGCATAGTTCTTGTTTTAGGAAGTATTTAAGGACACAATGCAGAGTGATAGGGAAGAGACAAATTCACTTTTCTTTTAATTTTATTTAAAAAAAAAAAAATAAAAAAATGTCACTTTAGGAAGTGACTGGAAATCCTCAGATTTTTCCCCACGGGAATTTGGTAGGGCTTATCCATGAAGATAATGATGCCAATAATCCAGCCAGAATACCTCTGCACCAATGTGCAAGCATAGGAAATAAGCAGAAAGAAATGGAAACCATGAAGCAGTTAGAAAACTATGACCTAACTGATACCACAGAAACCTGGCAGGACAAATCTCACAACTGGAATACTATAATTACAGGCTTTAATTATGAGTTTTAAAATACACTAAAATATACAACAGAATAGATAAAAATCAGTTGTAATGCATCAAGTTACAAATAAAAAAATTTTTTAAAAATGGGCTGCAATATTTCAGAAGATCTAGGCAGGGCAGCAGGGGATGAGGAGTTGTTTTTTGTGTTAAGGAGTGGATAGATTCCAAAGATATGTCTCTGAAAAAGAGCCATGACTATATTGAGAGCTTGTGGATTAAAATTCAGGATAAGACCAATTAAGGATGTCTGGTGGTCAGGATCTACTAAAGACTGCCTGGCCTGTTTAGCCTGTTTTATGAAGCCTTCTTGCTTCAGTTTGACCTCACTGGGGACTTCCAGTACCTGAAGAGAGTTTATTGGAAAGCATAGTATCAACTTTGTCCATGGTTGGATAGTGATAGGACAAGGAAGAACTTTACAAGAACGAGATTTAAACTAAAAATGAGGAGATTTAGGATGCAGGCTAGGAAGACATTATTTACTGAGAAAGTGATAAGGTACCCATACAGGCTGCTCAGAGATGTTAAATGTCCCCTCCTTGGAAGTTTTCAAAGCCAGGTTGGATGGAGGTGTGGGGCAGCCTGATCTAGTGTTTGGCAACCCAATCCACGGCAGAAGGGCTGGAGCAAGGTGAACTTTGAGGTTCCTTCCATCCTAAGACATTCTGTGATTATGATTTATTTTCTTGTTTCCAGTGATCTCAGTAATAAATCTGCCTAATGGTTCAAGCAGTCTATTGTTGTGTGCTGCAACAGACCGAAGTTATACGCTAGTCTAATTGTTCTGAGACAGCATAAACGCTTAAGTATCCTTAGCAGTTCTAAAACAATTCCCATCTATAAGCTTTAAAGTGTTTTATGCAGATTGTCTGTATCTTTTAATATGTTACGTGTTCATGAGAACTGAGGAACACATAGAAAACACTGAGCTATTTGAATAGATTTGTAACAGAATCAGAGAAGAAGTTCTCCTGGTGTTTTGTTATTGGGTTACAAACTAAAAGACATAAGAATCTTCCTGGAACCTTACATAATTGATAACTGGAAAAATTGCATCAAAAAATAGCATGAGCAGAGAAAAAATAAAAATACATACCTCATGGTGTACAAAAGAGTTCCATCATCTTGGATTCGTAGAAGCTTGTTAGGCATTGTCATGTTATGAGCAACCGACTTCTTCCCATTGTGAAAAAACGTATCTGGGGTCCAGATTTTGCTGGCCATTAAATTGTTCAATCGAAGAATATTCATTGGGCCCTTAAATTTTAACCGCTCATCTTTCCATCTCTGACGGAAGAAGACATCTATTGTGTATTCCTATAATGGAATAAAGATGTGTGTTTGTTTTTTGTTTTTTTTTTTTTACTATGAAAAATTAATCTGCATTTGAGAAACAAGTCAGAGAAACACTGGTTGTAAAATTCCTTCAGCAAAATTTTGTCAAGGCAGAGTAAATATCACAAAATTTGATGGCTGTGTCAAACCTTTTCAGTACTTAGATTTCTGTACGTGAAACATATAGCACACATGACAAAGGTAATTTCAATTAAATTAATTTAAAATAAGTAATAAAAAATAGGAGAATATGATGTTCATGCAGCAGATGCATCTGCAGGAGAGTGATGGAGCATTTTAAGTGCATGGAAAATACCAAAAACTGAAAGGAAGAAAAGCAAGGTTATTAATGTATGGCACAATATATGCCGGTAGATTGATATAAAGAACAGTGTTCCAAAAAGAGAAGCAAGATCTGTAAATGTGTACATTTTATTAGCAAAAGTATACATAAGGAGCAAATGAATTACAGGTGGCCTACACTCTATCTGCTTAACTCTAGTGCCTAATCTTGAGAAGGAAAGAGAAAAGGATGCAAGCAAAACAGACTGGTGACCCGGATCAAATGATTGCACTTAGGTATTCCATTTGCTGTTTTTTCTTTGTCTTCTAAAGAAAAGAGCAAAAGACACCACACTGATGATATAGGTTCACAAACTTTAAATTTGAACTGTAAATGGCTTTGTTTGCTAGTGTCAGCACAGCATATAAATTGGAATTCAAAGATCTTAAGCTTTGTTGAAGTTTAACTGTGTTCTGGGTTCTGGCAAGTGTCACTTTGGAACAATTTCAATTTTATTGGACAAGTGCAAAACGGACACATTTTCAAAACATGATTATATTCCAACAGCCTGTACCACTGCAATGAGTCACAAGTTCTGACAAATTTTCATCAATATCAAATTTTCAAGTTATTTCAAAGCAGAAGTGTTTTCAAGGAACTTATCAAGTTCATACCACCGTTTTCTGTCTCCCTTGCGTGCTGATTAACAAAGCTTAAGTTCTTTCTCAATCATATTGTTTTGCAAACAAGTGCTAAGCAGAGCGCGAGAAGCAAAAGCTTTTCTCATCTTTTCCTCTGTGAGCCCAGAAACTACAAGGACTTTTTCCAAGACAGGGACAGAATCTAAGAAAAGCACATGGAATAAAGGAAAGAAAGTTCAGCTATCTGAAAGATCATAGCAAGGGAAGGAGAGAAAGTAATTGTAGTTAAAAAAACTGTATTAGGTTCATGGAAAGATCCTTTGAGAATGATATAATGGGATGCTTATAAAGTCACCTGAAAAAACTCTCAATTTATATCTATATCTAGAGGCCTTCCATTACTGTAATACAATCTTGTGTTTTTCTAATTCAAATTGTTACTCAGATATTAAACAAACCTAACACCACAATACACCAAAAATAATTTCTTTGTATTAACATAAATGGCAGTTGTTGTCTACACTAGTATTCTAGTAAACATATATGTAAACAGGCACTACTTCATGACAAATAATTTCCTTCTCCACTGTATACCACATTTAATTGTCCTGTACTATTTGCTAATTTGTTGTTTTATTTGCTAACTATCCTGTGACCTGAAATCCCATTTACAGATTCTAAATAACCTAACAGTTCAATTACATATCAAGGAAAGTTACTAATCATCTGAAATCTTGGAGGATAAGGAGCAGCAGAAACTGCATACTTGAAGCAACAGACAATATGTGGAATCTGGCTAGAAATCTGTTACTTCAAGTAAAAAAAAAATTGCCCTAAAATCTTCCTTATCATATCTGTTTGAGAGGCTTTACCGGTGAAATCATTGCTATGCATGAGAAGATTGATGTTGGAGGTATACAGAAGAGGAAAGAAGAGCCTGAGGGAGCAAAGCTTTGAAATTCCACTAAAATTCAAGAGAATTGAGTAATAAGTCCTAAAAGATCCTTTGAAAAATAGCCCCTGCACATAAATGTTTAGAATATAAATTTTTATAATGTCTCCAATAAAGAATTTCAAAGGTTACACTTCCTCACTGTCTTCCACCATATATATAAAGAATTACTCAAAGATAAAAAAAAGCAGACATGAAATGCCACTAAATCAAAACAGCAACATTTCAAGAAAGCACATCTGATGTATAGCCATAGCTTAGAAAGCAGAACAAACAGGAGAAAACATGTTCTGTGGCCTTGGAAGATTCCAGTTATAAATCCTAACTCATCTACAGGTAATTCTGCTCTCTGAGAATTTTTCTTCTTATCCATAGTGGAAAACATTATTTGACAGAACCTGTGTTGTTCTGAGAAGATGGAAAAAGAGTTATCCAATGTTTTGTGTGAATCATCAAAAACATCAGCAATAAAATCTCATTTTTCTTTCTATAGATCTCAATGCATTTTGTAAAGAAAGTTGCAGATAGGAAGAAAAATTGAGGCAATCAAATGAAATGGTCCCTGTCCATTTACACTATGATTACAAAAAACAACACACATACATTTTGCATCCTAGTGCTATATTGACTGATGCCTATTCTGTTCTACTTATCTCATGAATACCTCTACAATAATTACCATGCAAAAAAAAAAAAAAAAAAAAAGAAAAGAAAAACAACAAAACTCGTAAATATTTTGAATCTAATCAATAAAAATATCAATATTTACCAAAAGATACATACTTAAAGGTTTTGTACCACTTTCCTGTCCCACTTATGTATCTCTTTTTGGTAAATGCTGCATTGGGCAACATTTGAAACTGCATGGTTTTTTGGTAGTTCTTTTCTTTTTAACCCATAACATCCCTGTTAAAAACATAAGTGACTTCCTAACTGACATTGCATTTCAAAGATACCTATATTCATTTTTAAATAAATTTAAATACTGTCTGCCTTTAATACTATTTATAGAGTCATATTTCTAGGGAATTGTAGCATGATCTTCCTCAATTTGAAGAACTCATTTCATGTCTTTGATTTCTGCTCCGTCGGCCAACTACAGTCTTTTTTGTCTAAGCATTTAAACTAAATGAAGTATTAGAAATTCTGTGGAAAAAAAAAAACAAAAAACACTTTCAACCAGTTTAAATCATAACATTGAGGAAAGATGATGTCTTCCTATTCAAATCCATTTATGAAAACATGCTTCTCTGAACAGCTTGCTCTCAATTTCCATAGACCTGATACAGAACAAACTCTGAGTATAAAATAAGCAGTGTGGAGGGATAAGACTAATGGGAAAGATACAGATTGAGATAACTTGAAGTCTGCAACTTATTATTCGCAGTACTGAAAATACGAAGATTTCATATTACTCTATTTTTGTTGTTCAGATACGGAGAAAGGGCAACCCTTAAACACAATGAATGCCTGGTGCCAGGGGCAGAAATTCAAACTGGAGTTACACTAGGAACTAATATCACTAGCTGGGCACAGTATCAGACAAATAAATCTCCAATACTGGTCTGCTCAACAGAATACTGCACAAGAAAACAGTCTTGAAAACAGTCTTTCCCAGTAGGAAAAAAAAAGGTAGAAATTATGCAAGCCATCATGTGAGATTTCCATTTATAATGTCTCCAATAAAGAATTTCAAAGGTTAAATTACCTATGGCTTAAATTACCTATGGCTCAAAATTACCTATGGCTTTAACTTGCAAAGGCCACAGTCTTTGTCTACAATAAAAAGGAATAAAGCTATCCATTTACTGATTAATTAAAAGACAACTTAAAGGCTCTTGATAGCATAGAAAACCAAAGGTATTTCCTGTTTTGGCCTTTCGTTTAGACTTTTTTTTTTTTTCTTCTGATACTGAACTAAAGTATCTACAGTAAAAATGATTTCAATATATTTTTTTAAACCTTTGGGAAAATATTTCACTTAGAAACAGCTAAAACTTCAAGTTCTATAGAAAAAAGATCTGAAAAACAAAACAGAATAAGGAAATCGGAAAAATGTGGTCTGGAGTTCAACCGCCTCTCTGAAGTACTGTCCTCAATAGTAGTGAAATGTTATAACAAACTTGGTCATCTCTGGCTTTGATCTTCAGCCTTCATTAAAATTTATGAGCTGACTATAATTGAGAAGCAAAAAACATTCACTGAAAGTTTAATTGCAAGCTGACAACACTACATTTTGTACTCAATAGAACCATCTCTTTGAATGCAGTGAAAACTGAACAAAAATAATAAAGTGAAAAACTAGATGTCTATCAGCAAGACATTTAGGAAAAAAAAAATTGTGTAGAAATACTTAATGATCTTCGTGGGTCCCTTCCAACTTAGGATATTCTATGATTCTATGAAAAAGGGAAAAATACAAACATAACCGCAATAAACAAAGCTTTCCTAGTACAACAAAAAGCTGAGGTTAAAAATTGAAACATAGTACTGCAAGAAAGCCTGTTAATTTTAACACTCAGACAAAACTGATTTAGGTCCTGTCATCTACTAACTGTGTACCATAGAAGTAGGAAAGACAGTTCCCAGTGACAATTAGAAAGGCTGCTATGAGACAGTACTTTAAAAAAGTTTACATAGCATTCTGCAAATCTCACATAAAGGCTCTCAGTGGCTGTATGCTCTCATACAGCAAGTACGGTTTGAGGAGCAAACATTTTAATTTATATTTTATTCTCTCAAAGAGATCAGCACTTGTATGGCTATATTGGAAATTTTAGAAGCTAAAATTTGAGATTAGTCTGGAAGGAAAGTAATTCTAACAAAAAGCTGTAGAAGTTATATGATTACAGTGCTAAAGTCATAACTATAAAGCTATGCCAATCTACCAGATTGGATCTAAAATTATTTACTAAGTTTGGGGAAAAAAAAGAGAAACTATTAGTTTTAATTGCTTAAATTATTAACATTTTGTCATCCTGAAAAACATATTCCAACTAAAGTTACCCTTCAGTTCAGAATTCTCAAAAATGAAAGATTTTAATTAAATTGCAGATGCTTTAGTTAGCCACTTCAATCATAATTTAACCTTATAACTCTTAGAAAATTCAGAGAAGCTTTGTTTTTTATGTTTATTTTTTTGTGTGTGTTTTTATATAATGCAGCTTTCCTTCTCTCAGGCTAATGTCAAAGTAAATTTATATCACTGATCTGGTTGGAAGCCTATAAGACATAGCATCATAATTCTGAAATATTTTAGAGAAATAACAGCTCAAGACAACAGAACAGTGAAAATTAAACTTACTAGATCATGATTAATTTCTTTGCCTTCCTTAATTCCCTTTAGTCTTCAAAATGAAGTAAAAAATTCCTGATGTATATTGAGATTTTCTTCAACATTACATACTGTAATTAATATACGATAGCATTTTTCTAATACAATTATTGTAGTTACAACCATATTTTAGCTGTAGCAGCTCATTTGAAGCGCTGTTTGCAAAAGAGTCCTGGCCAAGACTCAACAGATTTGGTAGCTGAGTAGCTTGGGGAGAACAGAATGTAGCATATTTTTTCCCCATTTAGACAACATATTAATCCATGATGAGGATTTTTTTTCCTTTTTTTTTTTTTTTTTTCCAAACCTCTAAACGCATTTGCAGAATAATCTCAGCTTCAGACTTTACCTCCTGAATTTATCAACCACAACATCAGCTAGTCTAAAAACAGTCAGAGATCAAATTTATCTGGACTTAACTACTTTATGGACTGGAAAAATACGGATAATTTGAATGAAATCCTACTTATTTTTCCATTGAACAATTTAGGAGGAAGCCTTAAAAATTAAAATAGCATTCCCAACATTTACAGAAGAAAAACATCTATAAATGTTCACTACAGTAGTTAACATTATCAATTCAGTAAAGCAATATCTAAATGAAAGAGTAATCATTGTACCAACATTACCTTCACATCTGACAGTATGTAATAGTTTGGAAGTTATTATTTCAAAACTTGACTGCCCACATATTTCAAAGTGGTTTAATAATTATCAATTTACCAAGTTAAACTAACCCTGAAACTTTTAGTAGTAGATATTAAACTGCTCTTACTTACCTATCAACAAGAAAGGCAAGAGCAGATAAATGAACTTTCTGATTACACTGTCCCTCCCTTCTTTCCTATGAGAGGTGTTATATCCATGAAGATCTTCCTCACTAGTGCAACACATTCTCCTAATCCATGTATGACTTGCAGTGAGTTACAACAAACCCCTTGCCTCAGAGCTTTTTCTCTATTGCTGTTTTCACAAGAAATTTTGATCCAGAGAAATATTTTGACAGTTTATTCCTTTATAATTTCATAAACTTCATTTCATTGGCCCTGCTGACACTGCTAGACCTAAATGACTATGAAAAGCCTAAATACTCAACAAAAAATAATACACACTTGGTTTGAGGCTGTTGAGTTCAGAAACACAAGTTTATCTGGCCTGGTATTCGCATGTATTGTCATCACAAATTTCTGCTTAAATTCTGGATTCATGAAGTGAAACACTGATAACTAAATTTATATGAATTCCACTGTTTTGGTTGATTTTTTCATATCACTAGGTTACTAATGTTGCAGATCAGATCTGTAAAACTGAGCTGATGAGCCAACTGTCAAGCATTATTTTGAGAAAACTTATTACAAACTATCTTCAGTCGGGTCATGCAGTAAGTGTGCAGTTCAGTTTCATCCAAGAGGAATTTATTTCAACTGCATCAAGATTGTCCCAGAACATGAACCAAAGTACAGCCAATTAGAAAATTCATTGATCCAAAACTAAATAGTTAATAACAATGTATCATGTAAGGCCTATAAATCAAGTTTCAACTTTAGAACTTCTGGAATCTGGCACTTCTGGGCTTCAGAAAAATTATTCCCAATTTGCCCACAATTAGTGAAAGTCAGATATAAGTTTGAAAGCGATTTTATAGTATATTTACTTTTACCACGGATACAAAAGATTCAGAAACTCACCATGTCTGTGTCTGAAACAGGTCCAAAACTGGTGACATATATGTTGGTGAAGACTTCAGTAATACTATCTGATATAAAAAGAAAAAACAATTCAATCACTTTTACTCTATAGTAATTCAAACTCTCTATACAAAATTTTCAGACATTTTGAGAAAGTTTCTGTCCTTATTTTCTTCTTTTAGCCAGTATCTTGTGACAAACACTGGGGGTGTCTACCCCATGGAGTTATACTGCAGTTACAAAGAGGTTATAAGAGAAGAATTCGCACACCAGAGCAGTATATTTCAATTAAATTGAAATATAAACCACACACATTTCCCATTTTTCTAGCAGCAAATGTAACTACACTGTCTTGGACTTAAGAAGGTAGTACAGTTCTAAACACAAAGCGCCTTTGTTGCAAAGGTATTATCTCTCTCATTGCATATCATTCATATTAAAGTCTTTCTGATTCAAAGTTGTTTTCTTCATCCTGAACAGTCTTTTCAAAGCTAAAGTGTAAAACTCAGCAGTGTCCTACATTTTAATTGGGTACATGTTTAACTGGTATGTTTTAACATAATAATTTCCCTTGATACATTATGCTCCTGAGACATTGTTATGATGCTCTAAATACTATAAATAAATAAGTGTGCTTCCCAATCATTGGAGCCAGACAGCCATGAAATCAAAATATTAAATATTGTACTGCAGGGAAAAAATAATTGCTGAGCTTTCTGTCGTCAGTTTTCAATTAGACTCAAAATTGAATGGTATTCACTAAGAGGGACAGCACAAACTTGCAGGAAGTTTCTCACAGCCATTGCCAGCTACTGTCTGTATTCAAGAGGGTCAAGACAAGAAATTCTCTGCCTTAAAGCCAGTTACTAGTTGGATAAGGAATATTTGAATTCATTTAGACTTTGACAAATTCGCAAATGAAAATTTCCCATTCCTAAAAATAATGTAGCTGCCTATTATCTGATCTTGCTATTTTTAATTTTCCTTCCCCAAATAACCTATCTTGCAGGATCCCTTCTGCTTTTTAAGCATATAAATAAAGACTGACTCTTACTGTGTATAATTCACACACTCTGAAAGTTCAAAATGCAGAATTCTCCTGCACACCTGCAAGATGCCTATTTGTGTGACAGAGACGTCAGTAATCCCATACAGAAACTGAGTTGATTTCTACTCCAAAAAACTTAAATAATTTAGTCAATGGACAACAGGAAGTGCTGGGTCTGCACTGTTTTTAATATTCAACAAGGATAAGGAAAACGTCTGAAATATAATAGCAAAACCACAGGTATAGTTCAGAAGACTAGTGACCATATGATGCCAGTGGGACAGTCTCCAGAAAAAGGATCATTCTCTCCAAATGGTTACTTGGCACAGGCAGACAAAATAGAAAAGTGACAAGATAAACTACTCTTCAGGGGGTAAACCAGTGCTGCAGACACTAGCTGTGAAATTTGGCCTGTACTGTAATGACAACACTATCCTAATTACAGTTCCATGAAAAACACTTATGTTACAAATATATCACCAACAATCAAGTATCCCAGCAGTAAATAACCAAGACTAAATTCAATTACGCTCATAAAGTAGTAAGGAACTTTACCAAAGGCTTTAAATGCACTTGGCAAATCTGAATCTGCCTCCCTCCCTGAAAAAGAGTTATGGCTGGAAGCACGGTCCTCTCGCAATCCTGCTCTAATGCAAGATGTTGTTGCTTGCATCTGGCATATTATGTCTTTACAATTGGTATATAGTATATTAAAGGACACAGGATCCTCATGTTGCCCCTGCATTTTAAGTTTTAATTAAAAAACGATAAAACACCAACATTCCATATTCTCACACATAACACACATTACTTCTAAACACTTCTGGATCGATCCTCCCATCAGAATTAGGCAAAGACAACAGAGTTAAGAACAAACAAATTGACTGCAGTTGTTGAATTGCTATTACAACAGCCTGAAGACTCCTCTTGTTGGTATGCATTAACCACTTTAAATCAGGGATCTTAACTATCTTTGGATTCGAGGATGTATGACTGGGAGAGCGGAAGAGAAATGGATTAGGGGAAAGAGGAGACATTATCCAGAGATTCTTAGTTATAAGAACTTCATTTGGAGTTATCATAATTAAGATTAGCACTTCAATGCATATAAAAAGAACTGGGGCAAATTCATCCATGATAGCCTCATAAATTAGAATTAATGCAAATTAATCATAGCTGTTTTTTCTGTCCCCAATAACTGCCTTAAGTCAGCATAGCTCCAGGTAGTGGTGACAGCAGTAAGTTCTAGTGCAACCAAATGTTCTCCCCTGAAGTGAGTATTTATCCTAACTGCAGGTACTTCACCAGGCCACCTTTTGTCAGGGGCAAGAGAAGCTGAAAAATAAGAACAGGTGGGAAGATGGAAAACAAAGAATATAAAGAAAACGGAACAAAGGAAGGCACAAGAAAAGAAAGGACTAAAGAACAGAAAAGAACTGGCTGATTTTTATTTCTTCTTCCTTTTCTCTCTCTTCAGATTCTGCATATTTCGTGTTTCTATTCATATCTTCCACATACAAGGAAACTGTTTCTTAAAGATGGAATAAGCAGAAGTATAACTATTAATGAATAACTCCATTTATGATCTGTTAATATTAGCAATCTGAGCTTTGTTTCTTCATTGTTAGTTTCCTTACTGTTACAATAAAGATTCATTTGAATTATAAACACAAGCTCATTGTTTCATAATCATTCTCTTTGAAGAAAGAAGTGAATCATTTTCTGCAACAGATATTCTAGATTTCACTTTGAAAAAAAAAATGAAGTCTGTACTAAAGCATACCATTTGTCACATCAGTAACTTACTGAAAATAATTCCCAGAAAGAAAGTACAGTTTCAAAAAGACTTAAGGTTGAGAATTCATCCAGTAGGCAACACAGCTACAGGCTTTTTATAACTCATATTCTGTTAAGAACAATTAAAGTCATCACAGTCCCTAGTGATCAAACAGTTCTGGATCAAGATTATTTCTACAAAAGTCAAAGGAATGTACTAAGCTAACAATCATTCAATGCAACATGCACTTGTGAACAAGTCTATTTTTGCGAGAAAAATTAAGGACAAGGTCTGTTCACAATAATTTTTTTCTTTAATCGATATGTTAACACATCAGTAAAAGCTTGGTTTCCAAGAGCTTGTAAATCGATGGAACCTTAGTGCTTTTGAAAAACAGCCCAGCTTTTGAAGACAAACTTTTTTCGGAAGAAGGGATGGATAACTCATTTATACTTGTGATCTCTTAAGTTACTCTGAATTTGTTTCCTTTGAAGGCTAAACAAAGAACAAGGAACAGGATTGGGTAAGAATAGAGTTTTCACATCTGATTTTTCCATTAAGGAAAAAACTATCAAGCACAGAATAAGACATATAGATACTTTTGTCACATGGAGTGCTCTGAAATTCAGAAAATATAGCTTGGCTACAGTACGGATGTTTTTACCTTTAGCAGTTATAACTGTTGAAGGAGAAATATAGCTTAGTTTAGGCCAGTTTCCCAGAAGATAAAAGCCAAAAATAAGCAAGCTGTTTCAGATGGTTCTCAAGAACTGGTTTTGGTTGATTCTCTTTACTTACTTGATCTGTCACGCTACCAATATTGAAACAAATGAACGAATAAGAAAAGTATTAAATACACCAAACTACAGATTTATAGATCCTTGTCTCCATTTAGCTAGTAGGTTTGTGTGTTTGAATGACATTTAGTATTTTATAAATATTTAATTATCATAACCTCTCTCTGAAGATGGTAATTCTATTTTCTGCATTTTCTATATACACTTTGGAAATTGAAGCAGAAAGATTAAGCAACGCATAAATAATACGACATAGAGGATTTTACCAAATCTGAAGTCAGTCGTTCCACATTAAATATCCACACTGGAAAACACTAGCATCATTGACTTGTCAAAAATTATAAGAGTTCAGAGCTTAGCTGGATTTGGTATCAGTACCTTTGTCCACTCCACTTTGCCAGATCTCCATCTGTTGGGATACCCTTTCTCATGGAATGATTTGTTACTCAACAGATGAACTGAAGTAGACCACCTGGCACCAAATTTGCCATGGTTATATGGAGATAGTCAGAAAAGTCATATGAAAAGATCCCTCATCAGCATTTACTGATTTCTAAAAATTAGAAATTTCCACAGAGGCAAATCTGTTATGAATTAGTTCCTTTGGAGCACCACTTACCAGGCAATTTTAAAAACTTTTCTGCTTTCTTCCCAATGTTCACTCTCAGCTTGCTTTCATCACAGATAAACAGTGTGATGGAGGGTAGTTATTTAGGATTAGATAGTGTAGTTAACTGAATGGGCTGGGGCAATCGCCACGGTCGACAGGGGCCCCCTGGCCCCTGGGAAACCATGGCAACAAATGACTTGAAGATAAGAGAGAAGAGCAGAATAGACCAAATAAGGAAGAAACAAGACATGCCACATGTCCATTGGTCAGGTAGTAGCCCTAAGGCATGGGGAAAGCTTTAAGAAGGGTATGCTCCCTGCAATAAATGCCATTTTACCGCTCACCATATTGGTGTCATGAAAAGCGTGTGAAACTGGCCGGGGCTGTCGGAACACTTTCACAGGGAGACTTCAATCAGGGTCGCCGAAACTAAGGCGACAGATAGACCTCAGCTTTCCCATTCCTGAAGAACTCTAAAGACAGAATTATTTTTCTTGAAACAAGTTTCCTAAATATTTCTCACATTTGGGAATAATCTGTGCTCTTCTCATTCGTCCTCTCTTAGACACCAAAATAATTTTCCACAGGATCAAAATATGTTTAAAATAAACTGAGTGTGTTCATCTTGAAGCCTTCAAACTGAATCATCAGCAAGGTCCCAGTGTTCCTTCGCAAGAAATTGCATTATCTATTAATACGTAGAGTTTATCTTCACAGGAAAGCAGGCTAGTAGATTCAGCTGGAATTTTTTATTTATTCAAACTTTTAGTCAGTAGAACTAAAACCTTAAGTTCGAGATTTGGACAGCTAAAATAAAAGCCAAACTCCTCGTAGTA